TCTGTTGACGACCACTTAAGATTTTTTTTCAAAAACAATGAAAAAATTAAGTGTGAAAAATATGAAAAAGAGGGAGTCGCCACTCGTCCAAATTATAAGGTGGAACAAGTCACCTAAAATGGGTCTGCACAGAGATCAGGGTTCGGGGGTTCGGTTAGGAGTGAGGAAGGGCATACGCGCACCTCACAATTCTCCATTTAAACACGGTTGCATACTTTAACATTGAGGTTTGATTGGTTTTGGGCTAGACTTTACATTTCACCGCTCCAACTTTCCATTTCTTCAATTGAGTCCTTTTTCTCATCTTCTTTTCCAATCTTCTTCCTAAAATTTCCTTTTTTTGCCCTCCCCTTTTTTCTTTGAATGAACCTAACAAGTAAAATAAAGATAAAACATATTAGTTAAAATAAAAATAAAAAATAAAATAAAATTCTACTAAAATTTGAGTTATGACATATTCACAACCTTTTATATTCCATGCATTCATACGTCTGTTTTTCTTTTAAAATGTCAAAAGAAAAGTTACATAACTTTGAAATGATAAAAATAAATTTGGGTCATTTAAGATTATTAGTAGTGTAATAATAATAATTATTGTGTATTGTAATCTTAAAATTTGTTTCTATTTTAATAAAAATCAATTTCTATTCCTCTATCTTTAATGTAATACATTATATGTAATTAAAAATAATAACGATAAAATAATTAAGAAGAAGATAAGAAATTGAAGAAAAAGAAAAAAAATTAAACTAAATTATTAATCCATTTCTTATATATTTATGTAAAAAGAATATATATTCTTTTTTCCTTTTTAACTGTTTTTTAATAATTAAAATAAAATGACAAAATTAGTATTTAATTAATTCCTTTTTTCTTATAGATTTCTTCTCTTAACATTTTAAAAAAACTATATTAATTATCACTATTTCTATAAAAGATTTAAAAAGGACTATAAATTGAAAATTTTAACTCACAGAAATTATATATATAACTAAAAACAAGATATGTATTGCTTTTAAAAATAAAAATAAAAACTTTTTTTGCACTTTCCATTTGCTTTTGAGTTTTTTATGAACTATTATATTTTGTTGCCTCTCTAGATCCAAAGTTTTGCTCCACATCTTGCCTTAACTTTTTATGATAGCATTGCATAATATTCATGCTTCATTAATTTTGGCGCCTTTCCCTCTTTTAAAATCTTCAAAGTTAAAGAATATGATGTAAAATCAACTTAAAATTTGTGAAAAATCAGATATTAGCTAGGCATTTTAAGTATATGTATTAAAACCAAACAAAATCAAACAAAACTATACTTAGAAGTGATATAAATATATCTAAATTAAATGTTAGTTTATTGACTTGATTTAGATGAATAACATGAGTGAGAACCTCTGTAAATTAAAAAATATCAACCAAGACATTACTTTTGGGGCTTGGAGATTTTAGTTTTGTAGTCTTTTATAGGCTTAAAGAAGGAAGATTAAGAGTTCTAGTTGTTACAAATATTTTATTTAAATTTAATACTAAAATTTACATATAATAAATATAGATAATATTTTAATAAATAATAGTTGAATATGAAAAGTTTTATATGTGTTAAAACTTAATTTGGTTTTTATATGAAAGGAAAAACCAAAAGGCGCATCTCTTTCTCTTCTCTTTTTTATTTAATATGCAACGGAAATTAATAATGAAAGAAAAGAAAAGGATAAGGTAAAATAATTATATAATAAATAATAAATATATATTATTACATCATAAATTATTATATACAAATACATACCCTATTTAATGTATATGATAGCATTATATATATTATAAGATCCAAAGTTTTGCTCCACATCTTATCCCTAAGTTTTTAAAGTAGCATTGCATGATATTCATACTTTATTAATTTTGGTACCTCTCCTTCTTTTAAAATTTTTAAAGTTAAAGAATATGATAAAAAATCAACCTAAAATGTGTGATAAAAAACCAAATATTAGTTAGGCATCTCAAGTATAGATTAAAACCAAACAAAACTATACTTAAAAGTAATATAGATATACCTGAACTAAATGTTAGTTTATTGACTTGATTTAGATGAATAATATGAGTGAGAGCCTCCATGAATTAGAAAATATCATCAA